TCTGTAGTGAATATTTTGTCGAATTTCTTTGATTGTTGTGAACCACCTCACGTTTGATCTCCTGCGATGGGTTATATCATTGAGGTGAATTCGCCCCCAGATGGGAAGTTTTCTAACGCAGAGCAATCACAGAGTAGCTTACTTACTTAATTTTTACGTACTTTTCCCCTTCCTCTATATCCATCTAATCTCTGGTTGTATGCTCTCGCTGTTATACTGTCTGATGGTAGTCTTGACAGAGTCCCAAAACAGACAACAACCGTCATTATTAATTATGCTACAGCCATCTGACAGTCCCCTTGCCAGTAATGGCCGGATACAGGCTTTCCTCACGGCACAATTCTGTATCACATCTTGTCCCCTTGCCTTTTTCTCCCTTGCAATACTGCAATTTCAAGTAATAAAACAGGGCATGTGGTGACGGCTTCACTTCCATCAGTCCCAAATGAAAAGGGTTATTTTTATGGCTGATCAATCTGTGACACAGCTACGACCATGCTGTTAAGCAGAGTCGTCGATTTAAAACATGCACTTAAAATAAGTATCAATTTTATGCAAAAAAATCAAGTCCATGGTGCCAGCCCAGCCCGCTTTACGGTGAAACATGTTCTTACCTGGTGTGCTTTTTGCCGAAGACCACTGTATTACATATTCAACAAAAAACCTGCTAACGAACACAAAACACTTTTTGCCCTTTTTGTTAGGTATCCTTCATTCTATACTCATTACTACACAAATTTCATAATTAACGACAGAAAAACTGACCAAAAATAAATAAATAATATTTAAAAAATTAACAAAACAATGAAAGTCTTAGATTTCCCAAGTTTTGTTTTCCATCAACAGGTATCTCATTACATGATCAAGTAGGAAAACTGAAAACAGAAATAAAACAAAAACATCTGCCTCAAAATCAGCCAAAACCTGATTAGAAGATAAGACTAATATTATCTGAGACAAAAAAATAAACAAACTTTTAAAACTCAATGGTCTTGACCATTTACTACGTTCCCTTACCTGCTTCCTTTCTCTATCTTTCAACAAAGAATCTTTACAGTCTAGTAAATGCAGTTTGCTATCATTGAATTTTGACTGGCTCTCAAAAGAGAATCAAGAACAAAACACCCACAATCCAAACGCACACACACAACACCAAGTGAACTTAGTGAAAGGACACTCGAGAACATCTTTCAATGTATGGTTCCAATTAAAAAACAGATTAACAAAAAAACATAGAAACATCAAAAGATGGGATTTTAAAGGGTGCCAGCAACTAACCCATCTTCCACTGGGAAAATTACCTACACCTGACCTCACGCGAGTGAAAATGAAATTAGCATAGTAACTGGCCACTTAGAGCAGGGAAACTATAGATCCACAGATGGAAACATCAGAAGAAAGGAAAGAAAAAGAGCAAAATAGTGGCGGCCTCCAACCATTAGCCTGACGCCATTGGAAGCTCTTATAAAAGTTAACAAGTGGAAAGAGAGATTAAAGTATGTAAAGACCCCTCTCAATCAGCTCAATAACAGGCTAGCACAGATTTCTCAATATCGGTTTGGGAGATTATAAAGCATATCTCTTTCCCTGCTAGTAGAAGAAAGGACATACAGTTTGTTTAATGGAGAAATGAATAGATGTCATTGTAGTAAAAAGCAAAATGCCGCAATCAGTTATTTGAAGTTGGAAAAAAAAAAAGACATACAGACAAAAACAAAAGAAACATGGCAAATAAAATAGCACCTACCAGTGATTCCCAGCACGGTCCCGATTAAGCGTACAATTTTCAAGCACAAGTCAACTTTCTGGCACCCATGATCTCTATCATTACCATCAGATTCTACTCCTAGTTGCTGTTATATTAAGCACACCTCTAAACAAATGCTGGTTATTAAAAGAAGCAGAACTTATGCACTAACAATTATCTCTGAGACTGAGCAACAACAAAGCTCATTTCAGCCAGCGATGAAAAATCCCTGACAAAATCATTTTTTAGGGGATTGAACAGGGTACCTCAGGAACAGAAGGCCAGAGTCTTGATCACTACACCTAATGCCCCCCCCCTCTCCTCCACGCACACACTAATGTGAGGAAAGTAAGACAAGGAACAAAGATGCCTAAACACAAGGAGAATGATATACCTCAGGGATTTAAAACAGAGGAAACATTAAAATTAATGAACGGGCTCAGGAAAAGGCAGGAGACATGGTGAATAAATTATTTGCTTCTTGTGGTTATTTATTGCTGAGGAGAGAGTGGGCAAAACAAACATTGGAAAATATGCGTATGTGTGCTTGTGAGAGAGAGAGAGAGAGAGAGAGAGAGAGAGAGAGAGAGAGAGAGAGAGAGACAGACAGACAGACAGAGAGTGAGAGAGAGAGAGAGAGAGAGAGAGAGAGAGACAGACAGACAGAGAGTGAGAGAGAGAGAGAGAGAGAGAGAGAGAGACAGACAGACAGACAGAGAGTGAGAAAGAGAGAGAGAGAAAACAGAAAAGACAGAAAGAGGGAGAGGCACTACAGGCAAAATTAAAGGGTCTAGGGGTGGAAAGATAATGCGACAAACAGTGTACATTACATAGACCTTGGGATAAGTGCTACACCAGCTCTTGGATTTAAGGCTCAGGATTTGCGTTACATAGATTAGGTCGTTCAGTCTCGATACATAGAAACAAAAAGACACTTACAGTATTGCATATAATATATCATACGCCTTTGATACGAGAGGCGGCAGTGTCACTCGGGTAAAGATGATAAAATTCAAGCTAACAAGGAGTTTACCTGAAATTGTTACATAACTGGAATACATAATATTCCCAAAAGCACTATAGGATTTAAGCTTTTTACACTAGTTTTGACACTGACACAAATATATAAAAAAAAGAGGCCATTGCAAGAAATGCACAAGTAATGGGGCAGAGTTAAACAAAATAAAAATCTTTCAAAATTCAGTTCTACCTTCACAGAGATTTGAGACTGAAACTTATTAGGCCCTACCTTCTCTTTTTAAGACAGGCACACTGCCATTTCGTCACAATTGAAAACAACATAATAACTAAATAGAACACTTAAACGGAGTAGTTCAAAATCTCTTGAAAAAAAAAAAAATAACAAAAACAAACAAATTCAACAAAACAAATCCCAACCATATGGGTCATGAGTCAGGAACAGAACACAGGACACCTGAATTAAAAAAACAATACAGAAATTTCTCCATCCAGTGTATTTTAATCCCTAGGAAAAAAAAATAGTGATGTGAGGAAAACAAATCCCAGAATGTGCACCTCTACACAAACTTAGCACATGAACACACAAAGTCAGTTCACAGTGAGTACTGAGATGTTTTTCCTGGTGAGCAAACCACATTTCCCAATCCCAGGTCTAACTTGTAGACAGAAGGTGTCTTAATTGGGGTACTGGGTATGAACATTCACGTAAAATGCGTTCAAAATATGGAGAGAATGGAAGATGCGACAAGAACAAAATTATTGAAAAGGTCATTCAAATCTGGATTGTAGTCATAAAGCAGGTCAATGGAGTTGGTACTAAAGACACAGCCAGTGGTAAAGAGTAACAGAAAACAGGTTTTGAACAAATCTCCTTAAAATACAACATTAATCTGACTTTTAAATTCGTCACTTCATCTTAGTGCTTCATATACACTGTTAATTTTGGTAACTTTGAACACAAAAAATAGCAATTCTGAGGGCATGCCATTTAGGTCAGAAGTTATAATTCGTTTAAGAAAAAAAAGTTAGGAAAACAAAGAAATAGTTGCTTCAGTTGTAGCTCGCAGTGAATCAACTTGATGATGGGCCTACTGCTTAGTTCAGAAAGGATATCAATGGCTGAAAGACACTAAAGAGAAACTGTAAGAGCCGACATCAACAGAGTTGCCAGCAAAAATCATCGGCTTGACATGATGGAAATGAAATGAGATGCATCAATGCAAAGTAAGACCGAATCGGAGAAAAGCTGAACCAATCAACCAACCTTCCACCCACATCAGCCCACTCAGAGTGACGACAACAACCCCAGTTTTGAACCAAACTCTTCACGTCGCAAAAAACAAAACAAAACAAAGATTAGACACAGTCAGCAGTTGACAAGGATCACATTTCTGTTAGTAAACAAAAGACTTATTCGGACAAAAACATAGCGCAACAACAGGTAAACACACGGCAAAGCTAAACAATGAAGAACACATCATGGACTCCGTGGCTTGCTGTGAAATACAAGACCGTAATGAGATACTGTCCCTCCCTGGTGCAAAAGACTTACATACAAACTCTCATAAAAAGATAGTTCAAAATGAAATAAGTTGACAACTCCAAACAATTTGAAAGGGAAAAACAAGTGAGGCAAAACATTCAAGAACAGACATCCTCCCCCCCTTCCCCGTAAGAAAAAAAAAGGAGTAATGCTCTAAAATTCTTCGTTAGTCTCACACTGCCTGTCTCATTAAAATTTAAAAAAAACAGAAAGAAGAAGAAAAAAATGAAGAGTAATGAATTCAACATAACAAATCAACTTTACCATGAAAGGCACAACACAAAAGGACAAAGACAGATGCAAATAAGGAATAAGAGAATAATCATCACCCCCCACCCCAACAAGACCGTAATGCATTAAAAAATACAGGCCAGTATCTAATACGAAGGGCAAAAATGATGTGAATGACCTCAAGAAGCAAAGCAAAGACAGCACATGAACTTAAAGTAGGCAAAAACCAGGATGACAGAGATGAAGAAAATATTGCCACTTTATGACACACAATCCTTGGCAAAACACTGAGCTAGACTCAACACAAGAAATGGCTTGAAGAGAACAAAGGAAGCTTTATGGGGAAAAAATGTTAAAACATTCCTAGGTTATAAATGAGGCATCATGCATTGTAAAGTAAACTGAAGAAAAATTAATTACAGAGAAATAAATACAAGCTGACTATGAAGGGCATTGAAAAAAAACCCACAAAAAAATCAAAACAACAGAAATTCTCCATTAAAACTCTACATATTATTATTCTGGAGTCTGTACAATTGTAACTATATCTATATTAAGCATCTATAGGGAGAAATAAATCACGCAAACTTAAAAAGCAAGAGAGAAAAGCATACACATGATGTATATTTGTATATCATACCACACTATTCATTCAAGCTGTGAAAATGAAAATGTCATTCATACGAGTCACAAGGAAATATTGGCATGAGGCGGAGATGTGAGTGAAAGACGCACAACAAGAAATGACAACTAAGAAGTATTTTTAGATGAAATAAGATTTAAGAAAAAAATAAGTATGAAGACAAACAGTCTTATCAGAATACAATCTTACTACCGGTACTTAATTTACATGCCAAGCAGAGCAGCACAGATTCTAAAAGATCTTAAAGAAGGGTGATAAGACATCACAAACAAATACACAGAGCTGGGTGTCAACAGCACACGGGTAGGCAAGAACACAAGCTAAGGGGTGACATAAGCAGGTGCTGAATCGGTGTCCTCTTTACAATGAGACAAGAATGACATTTCAACTCCCACACCCAGGCTTACATTTTGTTACAACATCCAAGGGAAAAAACCCCCAAACACACACACAAAAAACTAGGGCATAACAGTGAGCAAAGTATTGCTGCCACAAATTATGCATTCCACCACAGGTATAACCAAAAATTTTAAAAAAAAATATTCAGAAAGCCTTCTCCCCAATGATCATTTTATGGGAATTAATTTGCAGCGGTCTCCTGACATCACACACGTTCTGCTTTTATTTTTTTTATAGTTTGACATATGCTAGCATACCTGTCTGTATAAGTGCTACACTGCTCTTGTCATTCTATACAGTAAAAAAGACATAAAACAGTGCCTATGCAATCACAAAGAAAACTGCAACAAACCCAAACCCCTCCAAAAAACCACAACCAATATTCAGCATCAAGTTCCTCAACACTAATGTTCTTCAATTTGATTCAGATTTGTCCCAAAGATTTTGAGTTAAAAGTCAAGCATCGATTGAATTAAAACATACTATTCAAAAGTTACAATAAATTCATGGACATAAAATTTTAATTCATGGCAAGAGTGTGTGACTTCAAGTAGAAATACTCGTATGGTTGCAATAGTGTGGTAGTCAAGATAACACCTCAGACAAGAAACTAGAGACAACGATACGATTATTTCCTGTGGAAATTCCTTTTAACTATTACACTACAGACGTTGGTTTGAAAAGCTGAGCACAGAAAATCTTTTAGCCTTAGCTCTAAAAGCAAACTTAAGCGGAGTTAAGATTTCTAGCTAGTCCCTATGACAACAGATAAAATTTTGTCATTTTTCAAAGCGTCAAGAATTCATCCACATACTGGCATCGATTGGTGTGATAGAATGCAAATATGGTCAAACCCGCTCTAATGATACCCTGTCTGTGATATAATTACCTGAAAAAAACGACCACATCCCATTTTGACTTCTTGCTTTTTTACTACGTATTAATGACACAGTTCAAAAGGACCGCCTGAGATGACCACTTTTCTCTGTAACAATTGGTGGTCCTGGACAGGTTTAACTGTATAGAAAAAATCCAACCCATCCTACCACAGTTTAAGAAAAGTTGTGTAAACAAAAGCCTTCGCACATGATCAGAAGTTCTCATTCATACATGACTGTAGCACATTCTTCACAGTGCTTCTGGTAATATCTGAAATGCTGAGCTGGAATAACAAACAAGCAACAAAATAAACAGCATGTGAGAGACCAACAAGAAATTTGCAGGTGCAAGCAACTCAACTATTAATCATTCGCGTGAAAAATATTCCAAACCAAGCTCTCTGAATACATTCAGAAATAAATAAAAGCAGTTGTCAGGCAGCCAACTAAAGTAACTCTCTCATCAAATCTTGGATGCAAAATCAGAAATATTTCTCTCCTCTCTACCCCTCCCAGTTTATGGGACTCACAAGATAAACAGTCATCTTAAAAACTTTCTATAACTAAAGTCAGAATGCACTTCAGTTGCATATCTTTGGGCTGTAACATAATTTATTTTAGCTGTCCTTGTGAAAACAGTAAAAAACCCATTGTCATAGTGATTATGAAAGATTATCAAATGCACACACAAAAGTTGCATAAATTAAATACGTTTTCGCTCAGTCTCACAACCTCTTCAGCCTGTTGTTCGACTTATGACACAAAAATTATTTGTTGGCTGCTGAACAATGCATCTAGAAGAAAAACAATATCTTGTCAATTTAGCAAAAGCAAAATAAAACACAAAAATGCAAAATGAAACGAAGCCATAAAGGTCAAATTATCAGTTTTATATTTATACTAGTGCAAAATGTGAGCTTTTAAATATTAAAAAAAAATCCAGAACGGATATACATATGATTACCTAATCATCATGACAAAAAAAATGCTTGAGAGATGAAAAAAGGCACCACTGGAATGTTTCAACAGATTTGAAAAATAAAAAAAAAACACCTTGAAATACCCCACGCAAAAAAAAAGGCTTGTAACCTGAACAAGAGAAGTTAACGAGGGCTTGTAAAATACCCTTCTCACAGCTTTTCAAAATGGAAATTTGATTTAGGATAACATAAATACATCACAAATTGCAGCTAAATAAACACCCGGTCTGATTTAAGTACACAATGTCCAACTTACTCTGTAGTAACAGAAAACTACTCGGTCATCAAACATGCAGCTGACCATCACCTATCCTCTGTCCAAAACTAAGGACACTTTTGGTCAAGTCTATGCCTTGTCAACACTAAAAATTATGCGCTTTGAAGCCATTTCTTTCACTCTTCAAGGAATAAATAAGAAACACTCACTGTGCAGTATTTCATTTTGCCATATGGGTACTGATTTTGTTCAGAGTGCAGCAAGTGTCTTCCCAAATACACTATCAGGGCGGCATAGCTTATCTACACTCTAAGCATATTAAGTTACATCCAGGGCACGAGAATGAAAAACCATGGTTCAGAAACAAACTAACCTAACAATTCACTTTCACTTGCATATGTTATACATAATGAAGCACAACAACAGAAGAGCGCAAAATAATTATAAACCTGCTATGTGAGCTCTCCATCAGCACAGGTTCCAAATCAACAAAGATCTTTTTCTCGTGATATTCACGAAAACAGAAGAGCTCTCGTTTCAACATAACTCTCCTCAAATAGAGAAAGAGAAGCCAATGAGCCCCTCTACGTAGCCTAAAAGTGCCTCTGTTTGTCTGTATCAATCACCCAAGGACTCTGCGAGTCCAAAGAAAACTTCCACAAAAACATACTGGAGAATATTTCACTAAACTGGCATGGTCCACCACACAGTGAAGACAAAGCTCACTTTGTAAGTCACCAAGGCTGAGCAACTTTTCTGTCACAGCCCCTACATGGATATTTCATCACTAATTTCATGTACATTTCATTCAAACATAATTTTTTCATTTACATGAATTGGGTGATTAAAACTCCACGATATTCACTTGAATGAACACCTCTTACACAGAACTTACGAAGAAAGCTGCAAACCATTCATTCATCGCTAAATCAATGAATTTGATGACACTTATTTGGCATATCATCAAACATATATAAATACCATATCAAACAACTGTCACATTGTAGAGGAGGCATTTCAAAGTAAAAACCCAAAACAAAACAAAATTCAAGCAATGAATGAAAGGTATAAAGGCAGTGGAAACTGATACAACAAGCAGGAGGGATTTCTCTCACAAAGTGGATACCTTGGGAGATGTAGCAACAAGGCATCCTAGCAGAGTGACTGCTCAAACTCAAAGACAGGATCTGAGTAGCAAGCAGATCACAAACCTACTTCTCTGTGAACACCTCTCCCAATTAATTATTATTTTCTAAATACAGTTTAATAGTCAGCGAAGACACAATGACTTCATGTTTTTTAAAAAGCTCTTTTATAAAATTCATTCACTTCAAGTCAAGCAAAATGTCAAAATTTCAAGCTGCTGTTTGCGTCTTAGCTGAGTTTATCCTCTCTTTACAGAGTAATCTGTGTGCTTGTACCAGCATGCTTGCATGCATGTGCATGAACATTCATCCAGGAGAACAGAAAACAGCTATTTGAACATTGTTCACCCACTCCGCTATAAAGTTAACACTGACCACAAAATACTCATCAGGACTCAAACAAACAAAAACTTTTATGAAAAGTCAGTTCATGAAATAGTGCATAACAAGTTGAAGGAGAACAAATAATGTAACAGCGGCAGTATCAACAACAACAAAAACTTAACTACTACTTGCATAATGATGTATGCTAACTGGTTATTTATAGAAGCGACGGCTAACAAACTAATGCCAGCAGATGTGGTACAGTTCATAGACACAACATACGCCCTGTGCTGACAAAAGGCAGTGCTGTGTCTGGACTACCCACATGAATCATTGGATGAAAAAATATATATTTATATATAAATACGTATGAATATAAATTATATTAGTGACATGAGGACCAACTGTCTGTTGAAAACAATGAGTTGCTGTTTGGTCCCTTCATTATAAACATCATATAATTCAGATTTTGTATGAAATGTTTCTCTGTTTAAAAAAAAGAAGAAAAAATACAGGGCTGAGAGCTGTTAATAGCAGAGTGCTGTGGTTGTGTTTTGATGTTCTATGAGCACTCCAGTCAAAACAAACAAGTTTCTCTTAGCAGCTGTTGCACAAGTAACTATACAGAACAGAAGATAATCAGGATGGAGACTTTTCTGCACAGCATAAGATAAAGACATGTCTTTGAAAAAGAGGCCCGTAAATATATGTCATGAAGCTCAAACCCTTCTTTCCACTTCAATTTTACACCAAACTCTAGTCACCTGTATCTTGCCAGTAAGTTAGCCACCCACAAACCCAGCTAGAACTCCGGTACTCACAGGAGTAAACAAAAGCGAACAGCAGAACGACACTGCCTGCATTACGCAGTGGTGGGGGTGGGGGGTGGGGGGAAAGAAAGGACGCCGAGTGCGAAAAAGCGGGACAATCCGGAACAACCCACATTTTAGGAGTGCTGAGACCAGAGAACATCAGAGGGAACATCAGGAGATGCCGTGCCTCTACGTCAGTCCCTTGTGGGAAGAAGCTGGAAGACTGAACACAATCCTGACGGGGGATTTATAACAAAGGCTCTCTCCCTCTTTTCTACAAATGACTTCAGGCAATTTTACAGATAATAAAGGTTCCATATATTCAGCAAGGCGCTTAAAAAAAATAAATCTATTTTAGACCACAGCTAGACAGAACAAACCAAACACTGTTACTTTTAAGGAACTAACCTTAAGAAGGTCACTTCTGCCAATTTCAACACAATCTAGAATATTTCAGAATCGGTACAGCATTTTTTTTCCCTCTCAACAGAATGGTCCTCATGTGGAAACTAAATGTGTCTTAATTTTTATTTCTAATCATAACGATAATATACTTTTCATACAGTCATTCACAGAACAAACTAATCATCCACTTAGGGACCGAAAACACTTTGCAATATACTTGTGTTAAATATGGGATAAACAGAACTGAAAAATACGAACAGAAGAGAGACAATGACGTACTATGAGCACCGTGTACCGACACTGTATGGGTGAGAAACGTAAAACCCCCAACATATTGTAGTAATAATAATAATAACAATAACAAAAATAATTATTAGTGTATCCTATTATAGAGTGTCTAGTCGTTAGAGGACCCTCTAGAGATCCTCTAGCTGGTGGTTGCGTAAGGACATGATGATGAACTTGACCACCGCGGCCGCGCTCAGGGCTGCGTACGGCTGCCACTCCTTGTTTTTGGAGCCATCCACGTAGTCGGCCAGACCTCGCACAAACATGAAGCTGTCTTTACGGTTTCCGACAATGCTCTCCAGGACCTGAGACACAGGGAAAAAAAAAAATTGCAAAACTCATTTCTTTTCTTGTACATGTCTTATGTTTGTCCATGCTAATAACAGCCATCAACCTCTAGAAAAAAAGAAAGACGGACAGACAGGAAAAAAATGGCAAGAGAAAAAGGTTTAACATGAAATATAGCAAAATGACTTGACCATAAAAAAAGGGGGGGGGGGGGGAGAGGAAGAGAAGGGGTGTTAGAGAAGAAAGGCCTACCCCCCACCCAAAAGACTGAGAAGAAATCTGGGATAGAGAATAAGGACAAACAGGAAAAAAAAATCGTGACAGACGGAGAGAAAAGCAAAGGGATAGAGTAGATGATGAAGGAAAAAAGAAAGAAAAGCAAGGACCCCCTTCCCCCTCCCCCCCAAAAACGCACCAGTGATAGAGGAGAAAGACAAAGAAGAACTCAACAAACTGCTACACCCACCTGGTCAAACTCTGTGTCAAACGACGTGATTCCGTAGCGTGAGGCAAAGTCGTGACGGGACATCTCCGACTTGACCGGTCGGCCGGCACCAAACACACCAAACCTCATGGTGGGAGACTCGCGGATGGCCTCACCGTCGGGGGCCTCGGGGTGCTGCACCTCAATCACCTGAGGTGAACAGGCAGAAGGAGAGTAATGTACTGCGTATGTTTAATAAACTACCTAAAGTCCAACTTTTCATGTACTTTTAGTTTTAGTAAGAGTTTTATGGAGCTTGCAACACAATAAGGTCATATAAATGCCGAAGACTAGAGGTGTTACAAGAAAGTCATCCACTGGCTTGGCACAACTGTGGAAACTCTGGCACAAAATGAGAGAAACTCATACCAAAAAACCCCCAACAAACTTCCATGTGAATAGTTGCCCCCAATTCTGAACTGCTTACCCAGTGTGCAATGCCTGGGGTCCCCATAATCATAATTATAATAAAGTCTCACAGGAACAGGTAACAATAGGATGTTGTCATTGAGATGTGTGCAGACGTAGGAAGGTATGTTTACTAATAATCCCCTCCAATCCATTTCTAACTCACCTGTCCCTCGCCAATGCCCATGTAGAGCCTGTCCTTAGCGCGCACGGGCCGCGTGTAGTCCTGTTCCTGGGACTGTAGCAGCTCCTGACCCTCCTCGATGTATTGCTCCCAGGGGGCGTAGTTCGGCTCGTGGTGCAGTGTATCCCGCAGCTTCTCTGCCAGACGCTGCAACTCCAGGTCACGGGGCGAGAACGTCTTCAGTTGGTACTGGATCTGTCGGGGAAGGGAGAGAATATGAAAGTTGAAGTCAAAATGAATGTTGAGTTTGAGAAAAGAAAAACACATTGACACAATAATGTTCATTGACTAACTGAGCCCTGGTGCTGAACATAAAAGGGAATGAAATTTCGCTTTTTTTTCAAGACTGCCGATCTCATAATGCTGATATTCAGGGGGGTTTCGGTTCTTCAGACAAGGCATGCCAGACACATTATCACATAAATAACAATTCGCAAGCTTGCATACAGCATATTATGTCAAACATTTATTATGTACACTTTACACAGCAAGCTATAAACAAGAATCTACCAAAAAGAAGATTTTAACAGATTCCATCCATGATTTTTTTAGGCTCAGGACAGAATTAGTTTCCCTGTTCAGTTTTAGACCTGGGGTGCATCTATTTAATGCATTACTGTGAAGCTGTAAGTTACTCTAATATGTATTGTCAGATACCAAAGTGATGGGAATAAATAGAGGAATCTGTTTATATCTATAAATATGACCTATAATCTGCTTGTATTGTACTTTCTCTCAGACAAAAACGAATGTGGAAAAAAAATAGTGCAACACCTCTTCGAAAATTCCGACTTACCGCATTTTCTCAGATCTACAAGTCCTTATAATCCATAGGAATCAACACAAAATTGTAGCAATATCACCCTAGCACACATCTATGCAAGAATTTCACAAATTTAGTCAATATTTTTCTTTGAAGGGCGTTTTTATTATACCAGGCTCCGTGTTATTTACCCTCAGATTTAGCCTACATAGCAACAACAAAACAATGATTTTTGCAAGAATTTTGCGGAGTTTCCATCGATATTGGCACTCAGAGATTGAGGTCAGGTTTCTTCAAAAGTTCTACTTCCTTTCGACAACTTAAAAAGTAGGAACTGTGTTAAAAAGTGCACATTTGTTTCGGATTTCGCTGAGCAGCTCACAGCGGTCAAATGGAGGCAAAGGAAAAACTCAGAGCTGCTGTCAGCAGCCGAATGGATGGAACAAGTTAAATTAAATTCCCAGGAATAGGCCCAGAAATAAGCCCTAAAGTTGTAAAACCACTAACAGTCCGGCCCCTTGTCAAAGACAATCACTTTACAAAGGACTATTGCCCACATTCCCACTTCACCCCTTACGTTTTGTAAAAATATCATAAGACTATCCAAGGCATCCACCCGTCTAAGACAATAACTTTTCTCCTTGACAATGGGTAGTCGTCTTGGACAATTTTGACCGTATATTCAGCTCTCTGTTCAGAAGCTCATTATTTTCAGAGGATGTTTCCCTTGCACCCATCTCACCTGGCCCTCCTTGTCCTGCATGATCTTATCGCAGTAGTAGTAGATGTAGCCGCGGTCGTCGCAGGTCGAGATGACCACATCACCCAAACGACCATGTTTGTAGTAGTCAGTGAAATGGGGCACACTGCCAGAGCAACCCACCAGAAAAACGTGCTCAATGTTCTGGAATGTACCTGCGGGGTGGGGACAAGAGAAGACGTGAGTGCCGAACGAAAAAAAATAAAAATAAACATTGAAAAAAAAAAAACATCAAAAAGAAAATGATGAAGGATCTATGCTTCAATTCAGAAAGCATTTTGTTGTTACTTATGTTTACATACAGTGCAAAATCTTGTCAGTTAGTGTTTTAGGTAATAATAGTTGTAAAGCGCATAGAGCATGCTATGGATCGTGAATATGGCCTGTATAAATACACATATTATTATCATTAATACTTACTGACTAGTTGTTTGGTTTAGTTTGAATAAAAACTTTGAGCAAAGGGAAACACATCAACGTAATCACTACCGTATAATGCAGAGAGGGGGAGAGAGAGAGAGAGAGAGAGAGAGAGAGAGAGAGAGAGAGAGGGAGAGAGGGAGAGAGAGGGAGGGAGGGAGGGAGGGAGAGAGAGAGGGAGAGAGAGAGAGGGAGATCACTCTTGGAACTATGTTCTTTGTATCATTGTATAAGCACACTGAGCACTTTGCTCATGCTATAGAACTGTAATTTGTTATTATTATTATTATGAGGGAATCAAATTGAAATCTTATATGAGCCAGGCAAAGAGCCTCACCCTTTACATGTAGATGCTGGCACATGCAAAAACAGCCCCGCACGTACAGAACAAAGACCTACAACCGTATCACTACTCACCGAGCAGTCTTGTGGTGGTATTGCCTGAGGAAATCTGTGCAGCCCTGTAGTGACCAATGGCGGGCAGCTTGGTGGTCACCACCTTGTGTTCGCCGATCAGACCAGTCGTGTACACATTGGACTCTCCTAAATTAAAGATCAGAGCAGTATTTAAGGATATTGTTTGTTCAGAAGTTGATAAAGCTAACAGGAAAGAAAAAAAGAAAAAACATGACTTATTCGCATCAATTATCATCATTGAAATTCTTGACACATGTAGCCATCTTTCATCAGGAGCAACATTTACTGCAGTGGCACAAACTTTCAAGTGATTTTTTTTCAATCATAAAAATGTTTAACATATTTAGTTGTACACGTAACTAACATCTGGCACCCAAAAATGTAAGAAAGTAGGACAAAAAAACCCCTAGCCCATTAATTAACAACAACGAGTCTTATGGTTTCTAAAGGTTAAAAAATCATCTTTGTATTGATACAAACTTTATACAAGATAAACATTCAGTCCAACTAGTTCAAGATGGCCACCCATTGTCTAAGAGAAAAGTGATAGTCTTGGGCAATATCATTATGATATAAACTCCCCCCCCCCCCCCCCCAACAAATGGAAGCATATGAAGTGATCCTTTGGGCAGTTGATTGTCTTGGACAGGTGTCTGTTAAAGCAGGTTTGACAGCATTCAAACACGAGGGCAGAAAAATGAATAAGTACTATAAAAAAAGGAACCAAGGCAAAAAGTAAAAATGTGTACCTCAATGCAACTTTCAAAAGCAATTCTTTATCTTCTGACCACACACTTTCACAATTTTAATGCTCCCTACTTTTTATTATCAGCTCCAAATTTTCACTTCTTCAAAATATCAAGAAGAAACACACTTTTTTGTTCCACTCTCCCAAAAATTAATAACACTCATTAAGAATCCTTCTCCAACAACATTATTTCTACTTGACAGGGGAAAGAGGGGTCACCTTCAGTCTTGTAGCGGACGTAAGTAGTCTTGCTCTCCATCATAGCGTCCACAGCCATCTTTTCGCAGTACTGCGCTGTGATGATAGCAATAGTTGGCTGCAGGTTGGTGGCGATCATCGGCATAGACTTCACCATCTGCACCTCTGGAATTCAAGAATACAGAAATTTTCAACTGCAATGAAAATGTAACCTCGATAAGGGGCACGCTGATAAGGGACAGAACTCAACAACTATTTTTAAAAATAAAAATATATTACATATTTACCTTTAGTGAAATTTAAAGACAGCTTGCTTGCATCTGAGAGGGATTGCTATCTTTTGCCATGTATTATGATTGTAGTATCATGTATCATGCATTTATTGAGAAGCACATCTCCATATGGGGATAAAATAAGTTGACTTTAGCAATTGTTCTTAGTCAGAGAGAGAGAGAGAGAGAGAGAGAGAGAGAGAGAGAGAGAGAGAGAGAGAGAGAGAGAGAGAGAGAGAGAGAGAGAAGAGAGTGGGAGAGAGAGTGAGAGAGAGAGTGCAGGAAAACACAGAGAAATAGTAATTCTATCTACAAATTACCTGTCTTCTCATCAAGCACACGACGTACAAAGCCTCCGTTTTCCATGGGCTGAATCAATTCTCTGGCCTGAAGTTCTTGCAATTGCATGTTCACGACGGCAGCGTCTGCTGCTGTTATCCTGTGGGAGACAAAGGCTTGGGTTGAATAACAGACAGGGAAACAAAACATCCAAGTCTCATGGAAATTTGTCAAGCTGCAACAGCACAATCAAAACCACAATAAAAGTTACAATACTGAAATAAACCAAAAGATAAACCAAATAAAATTCCATTTTTACAGGTCCGCCTATGAACAATTTTTGGTTTACAAAGGCATACAAACATGCGCAAAAACATAGTAACTACAATAATAAGAGAGAGAGAGGGAGAGAGAGAGAGAGAGAGAGAGAGAGAGAGAGAGAGAGAGAGAGAGAGAGAAAAAGAGAGAGAGAGAGACAGATACAAAGAAAGACAGCAAGAGAAAGAGACAAAAACAGAGTGAAAGCACTAGATTGTTGTTGTTATCGATCCAGGAAAGCACTATATTAAAAAAATAGAAAAAGAGAGAAAACGACCGAGCATAAAATCTCTCACCTGACCAGATCCTCCACAGACAGAACGTTGGGGTAGGCAGACTCCAGCACTGTGAGCAGCTTCTCCCGCACAATCTCCTCAATGGGCCGGGTGTCCACTTTGTTGAAGCCTGTGAGTAGATAAAGACAAGCACGGCACCTGATCACACTGAGCTGGTAAAAATTGTTTATTTCCTTGCTTGCTGGTTTGCCGGCAAGAAACACATGTACTCAAATAAAATTTTAACAACAGCAGTAAGGACGACAAATGAAATACATTGTACAAAACCCCAAAGGGATGAAAACAAAAGAACAAATTCAAACGCCAGAGAAGAAACGCAAAGATGTACATCACAAAAGAAACGAAGCAATTTGTTACCAACACAGGTTGGAGGAGCACATTTAGAAAACGATTATTGAGGTGAGACATCTGCAATTAAATCCAATGCATCCACACTGAATAACAATAACCTAAAGAATCTGGATATAAACTTCATTGAAACAATCGTAACCTTCCTCCTGGGCTACAAGCAATTGTAAAGAGATCGTAACATAATACAAGGCTCCATAAGGGAAAATGGCTTAAAATTTAAAAAAATTGTCTTACACACTAATTTTATCCTCCATTGCGGTTACAAGAGCAATTAAAAAGCAATTATGGATTTTGATAGAAAATGTTTAAAACCACACAATGTGAAGACACAATCAAATGAGGGATCTGATGCTGAAATTCTCACCCTACTTCTCTTTCAGTTTTTCTAAAGAATACTGCTATGAGCTGGAGATGCCTCGATATTATTAATAATCCAAGAAGAAAGGGACAATCTTCTCAAACTTGAATTTCATTCATTTGAATTGCAACATTTGGGGATGAAGAACTGTGATTAGCAATAGCAAGTGCTATGGGTTAGGGTTGGGGTGGGGTTGGGTAGGGGTGGTGTGTGGACCTCAACATTACAGTATTCGAAGGATTTAACATTTTGTTGCTTGACAAACACAGTCATGCAGTGCTGGGAAAGAGGAAACAGAAACATAAGAAGAAATAGAGATCCCCCCCCCCCCCAACAAAAACAACAACTACAAAATGTGAACAGAGAAATTCATTTCAGGACATGAACACACACATAACCTTCTGACAAGATCAAGAGTAATGTCACAGGTCAAATGATTCTCTCAACATTATGACATGAAAGATTAAAAAAAAACTTATACAAGACAAGAAAAAACAAAAAATTAGAAGCTTGAGCCAACCCCGCCCCCCCCCCCCCCCCTCCACACACACCACCCACCTACCTACCAAGAAAATATTCTAAAAATGAATCAAACGAAGGTTCTCTTTTTAACATATTTGTCTACCACATTTGTAAGTATACAACTAAAACCCACCTCCAATGTCCAAGGGGAAAAAAAAAAGAAATTTTTAAAAAGAAAGAAGCATAATATCATGTTTATAATTATTACTTTTACCTCTAAAGCAAAAGGGGAAAAAAACCAACAAAAGCAGAGCCGAAAAGTACGGCAAAGAAAAACAAAAGCTTGCAGCAATTTTATATTCTGATTTAAAAAAAGAAAGAAGAAAAGCGCACTTCAGCTTAAAAGATAAATTCAGGTAAAATAAGTTTCACATAGATCTTATTCTGTCTTTATATTAAAAATTGTGATTTGATTATATAATTTTGTAGCTTGAAAGTTCAACTATTTCTCCATCTTGAAATGAAGTCTTCCTGCAATTCGCAATTGGAAAAGATAGCCTTTTTTACCAGTTGTAAGGGAAAGAAACATTTTCAACAATCGTTCGGAAAATCAAAGCTAATGACTTTGTGACCACCCACACGTAAAAGAAGGTAGATTTATTGTAAGAGTTCATAGTTTCAAGTAAAAAATAATTCCTGTACTACTTCTCAACACTCAGATGCTGCACAATAAATTAATTCATCCAAAAACAAACAAAAATAACAGAAATAAAAGAAAGCATAAACAACAGGAACCTTGGGACTGAAAGGGGAAAGAAAGAAAAAAAAGGACTTGAGCCTGAGTTTTGATTTTTCCCATCACAAGTGACAACAACCGGCTCATGCAGGCGAGCCCTACCCCTCAGGAGAAATACATTTTCCCAATGACAACCACAACAAGACAAGGGAAGCAGTAACATGACAGGCAGGCAGAAACAAAACAGATCTATTTAAAAGATGTCGTAGTACATATCTCTACCTCCAGCTTTTCATAAAAGGACCATGCAAGCACGAAAAAGAGACTGAGAAATGGAGAGACAGACAAGAAACGTGAGAAAGTGAACCTTATCCCAAGCCCCCCACCCACCTACGAGTGAGAGAGAAAAAGACAGACAAGATAAGAACCTCAGCTGACATAGTCTTACAAGCCAAGGGATTGTCCCCACATACAAAAGAACTCACATATGGTGAAATATTAAAAGTACTACTCTGCCATTTTAAATCCACGCAAGCCCAAAAAGTCAGCAAAACATCAACTCGCACTACCTTTTTTTTATAAACTCAAAACACAGGCCACTTTGTCCAATACTGCTGGCTTTTGAGCCTGAACTTTAAAACGTACTCCTTTCAAAGCAGCAAAAGTAATCCATCTGACATGTCAGTCTTATAGATGACTTATTCACAGAATCACATAAACAATGCATATACATCTACAAGACACAGCATGCAACAAATTCTTCAACTACCAGAAGTGCAACAGGTGTCAGCAGTTCACACTATTTTTCCATTTTTAGAGTTATATAACTGTAAACGCAACATAATATTAAACTGAAATGGAAAAGAAGGTGAAGGATCACTAGTACAAGAAAGCTGTGTACACAAAACTTTGTCTAATTTGTAATTTCTTTAGTATTACTATTTTAAAATGAATTACTAATGAAATTTTAGGGTTTTTATTGGAAAAAAATGTCGAAAGCTATTCGACCGGTGGAAATGTGCATCAGAAGATTTTTCGCGAAAGCAAACTGGTCTTTTAACAAAACACCCAAAGAATTTCTTTTCGACGATAAAATAAAACAATCAAGATATTTGCAGAAAGTATTAGAAATCCAAGTGAATTTAAGGTGAAAGACAAACAAACCAAACGGAATTGCCTGGAACCAACTGGGTATTTTTTAGATCTAAAAACATTGCACACAAACAGCACTGTGAGTCTGATGTTTCTATAGGCCATGTTTAGCAACAACTCTACTAATGTGAACTGTCAGAGGGAGACACATCTCAATACTAAATTATAATAACAATCAAAGACATGAACTCTTCTTAAACTTGGTCATCTTTCTCTTTCCAAGCCACATAATTTTCTCCCATCAAACTATTGGAGTCTGATGAAAAATGAATTACTCTATTTGGCGCTGCTTCATAGGATGAGCAATAAAAAATACTCTGAAATTACTACTCGTTTTTTATTCATTTGAGTAAAGAGAAGAACATCGACATGATGACTGTCAATTAGAGTAGAGAAAAAGTAAGGCAAATGGACAAAGACTACACAGGGAAAGAGAAGAAATAGGATCTACCAGCAGCACCCTCCAACTACCCACTTAGTTTTCCTGTGCCAAGAACAATAATGTATTACTATAACAACAGACCGGTCAGCATAGAAGAGTGCTCTGAGCCTTTCACATAACCAGTATAAGGAGTAATGTTAAAAAAACAACGACATAATAATATCACAAAAAACGTGGTGCAACATACACATATTATTGAGACTGTACACATCAGTATAACTAACACACAGACATCCAGTGAAGACATTGAATCAATGAGCAAGCCAGGGTCAGGACTGTATCAACTCAACATTTGTCACATCGGCCGGCTGGAAAAGGGACAGAGCCAGATGCAATGGAAGCAAATATGTACTAGACTGCAAACTCATTGTGAAAAGTATCTCTCCCAGTGTCCGCCATATTGGCTTACTGTGAATCAAATGTTCCTGGAAAAACATTACTAAGGTGTGGAGGGAAAAATTTTAAAATTCATTCATTTATATATATTTAATAAGCTAGTCATCGTCTCTACCAAACTAGTCAAACGAATAAAACAAATCACGGCTGAAATCCTGAGGTGTGAAAGGGAAATGTAATTTAATACAGTATCTTTTATTCCAAACTTTCATCGTGCCTTCTGGAAAAGAGGTCAATGACTTCAGGGAAACCCAAAATGAAGGTCTTCTTCCACCTGTAAGCTAGTCCCTTCACGATCATTAAACAAATTTTAAAAATCCATTGCAAGTAATCTCTATCCCTTTACATACACCTGTGGCCCAGAACTGTCATATCTAACACAGAACACAGACACAATCCATGCACAGGTCAGCCCTTAACTTGATATTCATAGTTGAAGTCTGCTTTATCATCTTTTACGGCAAACCTGCACGGTCAAATTAATATGCACAGAACAAATGAAACTGAAGCATTCTTAGTACCATTTTTTTTTTCACATCAGCATTAGCATGACTAACATTTGAAAGTACTGCAGTGGCAATAAAAATAACAAATTCAAGAAAATGGATACACTTATACACCTACATATGGATTTTAAAGAAAAAGGATTGGCATCAATTCTTCACATAAATACTACAGAAATCGCCATTATTCTGATTAATATACAAATTCATTTCAATGAAAAACATAGAAAGTACATCTGGTCTATTTTGTAAGCGGGCATAAAATCTGCAAATGTACCATACGGCTACAAGTTGAAAGCTGACCAAATTCCCCAGAAGACCTGTGAAACAGCATCACACAAATACATACACACACACACACACACACAAACACACAAATTTCTACGCAGCATGGGCCACTTACCTACACCATTTATGTTTTCAAGTCCTAAACAAGCAGCGAAAAGAAAAACGAGTGGAAAAGAAAGTGTGTTAAAGGCATAGTAAAACAGGTGAAGAAAGGTTACACAATAGTCCATGAGAGGGTGCATGTTTGCGACTCTTGATGTGAAAGGATGACATGAAGCCAGTCAAAGGCAAAACTTAACCCCCCCCCCCCCCCCAAGTTCTAAGCGGTAAACCACAGAATATATTTTGTGAGGATAATCATGTGCCAGTATATTGAGAGTGATATTTTGATTTTTAATGTCATCGGTGGGATGAACAATGAATCATCTCAGAAAATATAAAAAGACGGGCAGAGGAGGGCTTTACAGGTGAAGTGATATCAGCGTGAATCTAATAACATGTGAAATGTTTCAGTATAATGAGTATTACTTTGACATCATTGACGAAATAAAATGAACGATCTCAAATCTGAAAAAAAAAGACAGGCATTCGAGGGCTATAGAGGTGAAACAATAAGATCAGTGTGACTACAATAATATATAGTCAAATATTTCAGCACATATGAAAGTCCATGAAAGTTGACACTGCATCCTTTGCCTCCTGTCCATCTTTCACTAACATTTCAAACGCGGACCAACAAAAACTGTACTCAGCAATCTTACATCCTGTCATCAAAATCAGCGTAATGAGAATGGTTTCCATGGGCATTGAAGACAACTTACAACCTACTACATCGGTACTTTTAAAATCATTGACACTTCACTAATCAAGCAGCTTGAGAATAACCTCAGAGTGCCTGTACAAACACCCACAACCCATGTATTCAATACAACAATAAAGTGTTCACCAGTATAATAATGGCTGCAGGCACAAACCATCTAATTCTGGAGACATAATTTTGATAGAAATTGATTTCTCTAAACTGGCCGTGGGAGATAGCGACTTTTATCACAAGACTGTCTGGCACATTTAAGTGGGTCTTGATGGCTATGATACGAATAGAAAATTTTCTTGCTTTTACATTATATACAAGTAAATCATAAAAGCATCAGAGAGAAACTCAGAGGTTGATAATTTGTGCCCAAGGCCATCGATAAGCAGTAGGATAGCAGAATTGTACATATAATATTTGCAGTAAATAATGGTAGTGCTTGAAATTAGTAGACAGATCTATCGTTCAAAAATAAATTTGAAACCAAAAGATTCAAAGACTGGCAGTGACACGAAACACTAAAAGTGTGAGGACATGTCTCAAATACATCAGGACATGCATTACACTGGCAAATGTCGATTAGACATATAAATCAAGTAGTTGCAGGGTACACGACAAATTAACGCAAACAGTCAAACAAACATACAAGTAAATAGTATAACACTACGACTGCAAACATACAGCCAAAACGTTCAAAACATCGGGAAATATAGGTGGAAATGACAACAGTAAAGTGCAGGAATAAAAGGCACGAAGTCTTAATGCTGGACTAATATATGCTCTCACTAGAGTTGGCTACACCTTTTCTTTTGTAGTGACAAACTTCACAGTCTAAATTGAAATTTGTTCACATTTAAACACTTCACTTCAACAAATATTTTTAAAATGAGAGAAAAAGAACAATAAGAAATACATAAACCTGTCAAAAACACAAACGGATCGGAAGAACTGACCTTGATAATTATTCAAATTTCCAGCAATAACTGATTTCCACTGTACAAGGAAGACCAACCTCCAGTTGTTGTTCAGTCTATAAGCAATTTTATTTTGGGGGTTTTATCAAATTCTGTTTGTTCATCGACATATATATATTTATACATGTGAGCTATTTTTTTCAGGAAGAAAGTCTGAGGAATCCAAATTCTTGAAAGAGAGATAGAGTTCCTGACAACTGTTTAAAAAAAAAATGATGGCATATGTACCAATAATACTTGCTATTGTACTATGGTAGCCTGGGTTTTTTTCTTTCAAATTTTCAGTTTATTTTGACAAGGTGCAACATAGCCGCTTTAACTTGATGCTTCCATGAGGCAATGTTGTCACTAGTACAACCACAACTTTGTGCAAGAATAGAACGATAAACACAGCGCAAACATCAGAAGAAATTACTTCTCTTTGTGATCAATTTTCCAGAAGAAAAAAGAGTAGTATGTGACAAGGAAAAATGTTTAACACTTCTAAACATGCAATGGTGACCCCCCACCCCCCATTACACCATCATAAGCTATGGAGAATGTTGGAATAGGTTAGGCTACTGGACTCGTAATCGTGAGGTTGCGGGTTCAGGGGTTCGAGCAGCGGGCCCGATATTGTGTCCTTAGGAAAGGCACTTTACACGACCGTTCCTTACTTCACCCAGGTGGGAATGGTTACCCGGCGATAAACAGCGAAAGATCTCGTAAATATGTTTGTGTTTTGGCGCCTATAAATGGCTGCTTGCACTGCATGCTTCCCAAGAAGTTGAGGTTGTTTCAGAATGCTCTCAGGTCTGCTGGGGTAATAGTACAGATTGTGAAGCGGGGATTTGCTGTACACAAATGCTATCTATTAGTATTAAGGAAACATCAATCTAAGTTTTGTTAAACTCATTTACCAAAAAAACCCAACAACCTGGTATCGCAAAAAGACTACTTTTGCCATGTCCATCTTAAAAGTGTTCACATTTTATTCACTGCCCTGTGATTGCTGCCATTTTCCTCATTGTATGATAGCTGGTAATTTTTCCCTCGGATATGTATTTAGTAGCTGTTGAACTAAATCTAATTAAAGAGCCAATGTATAGGTACAATGCAGGCAGAGAGGTTAAAAGTGCAGCCTCATCTGATACATTCCGCAGACTTGGCAGTGTCCAAACAACTATTAGTGTGTATATATAAAACATCAAAAGTATAAGTGTTTATACCTTCTTAAAAAAAATAATTTAAAAAAATAGTTATTTCAACCTAATCCTCTACAAATTCAAACAGTGATAGCATAATATCATTAAAAATGCAACTGCACTGAGGGAAATGCATTTGAATATTCATAAACATTGAAAAAAAAACACCAACAAAATTCACACAATAAGTCAAGGGGTCAGAACTGAGAATGCAAGGACAAACACCAAGACTTGCTAAAACACTGCACGAGCAACCACGACCTACCGAACTGCTCCAAGGGTAAAAAGTGGCCTTAAAAAACCAGGGCAGTATAGGGAGGAACAACAGCAGAGAATCAGACAAACTGGTCAACTAAAATTGTGGTGTGTAAAACAACACCAAACCTGTGAAGAACCCTAAAATAAAAACTAGATTTCTCCGAGGTTGCTTTTAATAATTATAATACTGGGGGAACCCCGCCCAAAGCAATGATTTTTGGCACAGCTGCAGAATCACTTAATGGCCTGATATAAATTCAAGAGTTAATAAGTACATGCAAATCAATTAAACAAAGTTGAAACTATGGTTGCAAAAAGTTTCTGCAAAAGACATATACTTCTGCTGTAAAATGTGTTTCAAGTTCATTTCCTGAAAAAATGCAAATAACTAAATGGTATAATTCAGAGTCCATGTTTATGACCAATAAAGAAGAATCCATACATCAGCAGTTAACTTTATTTCATAGCTTTATGGATAAAAAGTGCAATTGAAAAAAAAAAAAGGGAGAACAATAAAGCATATGTATAGAAAACTGTCAAAATTAGTATCAGAAATAATGGTGTTAGTTGACAAAAAATGAGAGAAACGTAAAAATGAAGCGATGAGACCAGCGTATGGCGACAAAACAAACAAGAACGTAAACCCTGTTGACCCTAAGTATGTACATAATATAATGCACATGAGGTCAGCGAGCTACGACTGTAGATTGGTACGTTTTCAACTTTCCCCGCAGGCTAAAGTAATTTTACAGACACGCATTTCATAGCAACATTGCTGAACTTGATTTGTTCACACATGAAACATAACTCTCAATGAGATATTGGGTCTCTTTTTTGTATGAAACCTCTCGTCACAGTACTTTTGAACTTTGCCAGCAAGGCTTAAAAGTTTCTGAGAACAGCGCTTACAGCTGTAACCTAGACTCACACAAACTTCTGGAACTTACTGGACTGGAAAAAAACAACAACAATCATTAATGCCACAACATTGAACTCTTATCTGACAGATACACGACAAAAGAGAGCTGACTCAATTTTCACAGAATTTTGGTTTTCTTTCCTGAAACATGACATCTCTGTGTAGAGTAAGAATGAAAATGAAAACCTGAAAAAAATCTAACTAGTTGGGTCATACACTTAACAAAAACTGAGAACATGTTTGTCCATGATGCAAGCAAGAGGTCAGAATCAATCAGCTTACCTGGACTCATAGGGGCATCTTCCGCATCAACATGTTCTACTTCCAGATCAATCTTGCGTGCCAATTTATAACGGTCACTCTGCATCTGCTTCATGCACTTTTTGATGAAACCGACATAGTCTGAAAATTACAGAACACATTTGAATTATTAAAAAAAAGGGGGGGGGGGGGAGAGAGAGAGAGAGAGAGAGAGAGAGAGAGAGAGAGAGAGAGAGAGAGAGAGAGAGGGAGGGAGGGAGGGAGGGAGGGGGGGGGGGGGGGGGGACAGAGTTATCATTACTCAAATCTCATTTGATTTTATGCACTGTTCGCTTAAGTGAAAATCGTAACAAAACTGATAGATGCAACAATTCTATTTCTGGCACTTTCATAAAAAAGAGAAATGTCACATTTTGCCAGGATTCATGTCAAGAACACACCCACCACTTGAAACACATTATGCAAAGAATAGCATGAAACAGGTAGAGTGAAAAACAATTTTGTAATTTGTAAAGTGTTTTACGGCGCTCGCAACTGCATAAGGTCATATGAGCGCGAGGGACACACCTAATATTTTCAGCTGGTAGGAAATTTTGAATTTTGCTCGGGTGGCGGCCGAAGCCTACTCTTATCAATTTTAGACCACCAAGGGATCTTTAACGCGCGCAACTTGCACACGAGCCCTCCGAGATTTTTCGCCCTTGTCCGAGAAGGCCAGGTGTAGATCTTTCCTACCAGAATATCAGGGGTGTGGCAGAAGACAGCTGTAAGAAGGAGCCAAGGAGAAGCAGTAGAAAGGCTGCAGAAAGAGTCAGGAGCCCAGAGGAGGGGGCAAAGGAGGTGAGGGGGTGGGGGCAGAAAGTGGAAATGAAGGCAGACAACAGAACATTGCTAGAGAACTGGAAAGGAGGTGAAAGGAGACAATTTTAGAGAAGAACATTTTTCGGTCGCTACCCGATTTCAAACCCGGGACCTTTGAATGAGAGGCCAACACCTTAACCTATAGGCCACGAGAGCCCCCTGAAAAACAAGAAGATAGCGTCCGCTTCCAAATACATAAAAACTCAGTACCCATAGAGTTAAAGACCTTAATGACTGGAGTTCAACTGAGTCTTTAAAAGTAAGAGAAGAGAGTCAAAACTAAAAACAAAGATAAAAGAAGAAAACAATATCAGTTTATCAAATTGTTTTAATATGACTTTTACATCACTTGTAACACAATTACGTCATATACATTCCGAAGATTAGAGGTGTTACAAGAGGGAAACAAGCACAAAAAAGGAAGAGAGATAATGACGATAAATGTTTGACAGGAAAGAAGGAGCAAACCTCACCAGAGTACGTGCCAACCACCCACAAACAAGTATAATGAATGGACTAACCTCTCGGGAAATTTTCTGGTCTGACCAACTCTTTGAAAAATTCATATGCTGTAGTGACTTGATTGTAATAATCGCAGCCAGTGACATACCAAAATTTCAACTTTCTGCTTTCCTGTTGAACAAATGAAAAATATGGAGGTGCATAAAACAGTTAACTAAGCATGAGGCGAGATGACTATTCACACATGTTTGCCAAGCAAAACACTGACTTCAAAGATAACTATTAAAACTTGCACTGGTTCAAGAACTTGCAGCTACTGTAAATGCTGTGCTGGCATTAATTTTCAGAGAAAAAAGAAAGCAAGTCAAACAATGCCACTTGCCATTTACACACACGAGCAAATAGCTTCAATAGGAAGACAGTTGTAGATTCAAATGAAGGGAAAAAAATCTTTGTTGTTTACAGGTAGATTTTCCAAACAATTCCACCTCTACAGGTCTTTTTACACATATGAATTACATCCAGAAAATATTTATTTTAGACATATGGATTACATCAAGAAAATATTTGAAGGAAACATTATTAACTTAATAAACATTTAAAGGGAATGGACTGATAGACATAAGAAAATCCTGTATCTTATCTTTTGAACTTCCTGTAAGGTGCTGGATACAAAAATTCTGAAAAAAAAGTTTCTCATCTTTTGCTGCTAGTGTTAAGTTGGGGTAGTAATGGCAAAGCTCTTTGCCTTCCAAGCAAAAGATAAGAGTGCAATTCTGACACAGGGAAAAATATTTTATCTAGTATTTTTGTCTTTCTGTTTCGATGCACTGTCCCACTCATTCCGTAACGGAATGGACAGGAAAGGCAATCATAATTACCTCTTTCTAACATGCACACAAAACCCCCGAATTGTTACTGAGTATATATATATAATAATAGTTAGCATTTGTACAGCGCAAATTCCCTCTCAACAGCAAGCTCTTTACAATGTATACTATTACCCCAGCACACCTTATGGCATACTGAAACAATCTCAACTTCCTGGGAAGTATACAGGATAGAATGACTACAGTCAAATTGCCCCAGGAACACGTAATGAGTGCCTGCTAACCACTGGCACAAATACAGACACAAAAAAGAAAAAGCAAACTCACTACATATTGTTCATCTGTCTTTTGGTCAACAAGGAAACACATAAAGCCAAGCTGGAGCTGTGGTTTACCAAGGTCTTCATCAGCAGCATCTGGAATGAAATAAAAAGGTGTTTAAAGTTTGTGGTAAAGTTGTGATACAACTTTTGAGTGAAGCTGACAAAGTAAAAAAAATGTATAATTTTGGGGAGAGGGGTACTCAAGCCCACCATTTCATACCATTGACAGTATCTCTTCAATACTGGAGCAGAAGTTGAGGCAAACATACTGCCAGTCACAGACTACTAGCAGAGTTCAAGTTAAATTTTTGTGGTCTCACCATTGTCAGTGCTCATATGGATTCATGGCACCAACATTTACTCTTGACATCAGTGTGCCTAAATGAACTAGATTTAGACAAATTTGCTAACTCTCTTCGTTTCATCACAACAGGACACAATTTATATACATATATATATATTAATAAAATGCTAAGCAATGAAAAGACAAAGCAAAAATAAACAGAAAATTCTTAAATGCCTGTCAAAATGAACAGAAGCGATAAATAAAAACATCTGGAACAATCTATAAAGTGATAAACGGAAACATCCAGGATATTCGTACTGCTGAATATCCATGAATACATTCCTGCAACTTTTGACCAACCTGGTCTGTTGACAACAAGTCCCTGGTGCTGCCCACCAGCTACATGCACCACATCCTCTGGGTTTACTTGCTGCTTCTTCTTGCGCTCTATTTTGATGTGGGTCACCTTGCCCCTTTTGGACGGTGTCATTACAACCTCTGGTGAATAAAAAAAAAAAATCAACATTTAATGGTGAATAAAGGAAAAAAAAAGATCAACAATTGATTCTACTTCATGCGCAGACTTCCATCTTCATTACACTGCTATTTTTATAAACCCAGCGAAAGGATTTCTCCATCTGAAGGCTTGATATACACCTTCTTGCATTTACTTTGCAAGGAGAGTTGCTAGAGTCATAGTTATTTACTACTTCCAACATAACTGAATTTGTGAAAATGCAATAGGGTGACACCACAATGCTCTCAACCATTTTTGTTGTTGTTATAACTAGACAAGGGAAAACTACTTTATGATTTTTATTACTGTTGTCGCACATTTCTCTCAAATTCCATGATAAAGGTTTTTTTCCCCCTTCTAAGGGCACACCACACCTGAGCCTCCAGATTAAAAAATATTACCACTTCTTGCAAAGATTTACTTGTGCAGTTACCAGCGCCAGTCTTAAAACTCTTACTAAAACAATGCAAAAATTTACCTCCTTGAACATGTGAGGTCCTTTTGGTAAACAAGTAATTGATTACAACTATAGATTGAAAAGGACCAAGACAGTCAAATTTCACTTTAACGTGCTTGACACTTCATAACTGCAGTAAAAAAGAAGATTAACGAACTAGATAAACTTTTGAAATTTGATTTCTAGAAAACAAAGTGCAAAAAACTACAATCATCATTCTTGAAGAGCAAAATATTTAACCACTTATCTGTTTACCTTCGTCTGCCATGATTTAAGTCTTGATGAGTCTTGATGGTTTGTTGTATCACTTGTTGGTTCTCCTGAGATAGAAAACATAAAACAGATAAAACAAAAAGCTAAAAAAAGATTGCATATTTCGAGAGTGACTATTACAGCACAAGTAGTGCAAGCGAGTTAAGTGAAAAAAAATGTGCTATTATCAGCCAAATAATAATGTATAACGGTATTACGTGCATGAAGTGGATTGGGCCATCCAGTCGTGGTTATTTGAAGGGCAAAATTTGTTTTGAAAAATCAGAAACATTTCGATTTTATCAGAGTATTTGGCATCTACTTACCTCCTAATTCATTTTACCTACTTTGACCTTACATTTTCGACCGTTGTATTCACTCTTTTTTGTTACCCTTAAGTCTCAATCTTATTTGTACTTAATCATCAAAACAAAAATGAGGTTCATAGAAAAATATCAGGAAAGGTCAAATCTGCTCCAACAGTCACCTAAAACTCACTTACATTTGTAATGGCCATGTCAAACCCCCTCTTTCACTTTTATTCACATTGTAATGACACCGTTAGATGAGCACTTTGGGCTTCGTTATAAATTACTTTCTCACTCCTGTCTCTTGCTTGGGTAGAGCATGTTTTGTTCTGTACTGACCTCTCGTTTTAAGGTTGAAAAAAATCGGGGGTAGCTGAATCTGATGCTTTGTATTTAAGTTTGAATTTTTCTTTAAAAAATGATTATTGGTGATGGTTTTTCACAACTCATTATCACAACAGACAGTCAAGAACTTCATCAAATGCAACACCAGGGAACAGTGGCAGAATGGATTGGCAATGGGCAAAACTGGAAGAACTGTATTTGCACACATGACAGCCCCCAACTCCAAAGATGCAATAAATTCCTTAAGTAAGAGAACAAGTCACGATCTTTCGCCAGCGAACACAACATATACCACTAAATTCCTACCTTAATAGGATCCGCAAGGATACCCCACCCGACTGCCCGTTGTGCGACAGCCAGAATTAAACAGTACCACACCACCTCTTTAACTGCCCAGCACTTTGTGACCGGCGTAGCACCTACCTACCTGCCTCCCCAGACATTGGCAATAGACCGAAGGGCTAGAACCCAAATGGCCGCTGGATCGGAAAAGTAAAACAACAATAAACTATGTGAAACGAGCGCTGGGCCTAGAAGAACGGAAGTAGAAAGCTACGGGCGGACATGCGCAAGCCGCGTTTCCCTCTCTCTCCCGGTTCGGTGTTTTCCCGCGGGTGAAAAAAAAAGTATCGAAATTAGCGACCGAGAGCGGTTCAGTGGAGGAAGGAGAAAAGTAGCGGGACAAGCTAGAAGAAGCGGAGTTTCCGCTATTTAGCGGGAAAGTGGCAGCTATGATATTCAGACATTAAAAATCTCTGGCTCTAGAAAATGAATTTGATGCAAAAAATGCTTCTTTTTTAACAGTCCTCGCAGAATGGCTGAATGAAAGGATGACGCCTAAATCTCGCAAATAACCCAAAAAAATCTCGAAATCGGAAACTGTTCAGAGAAATAGAGTTCAGCTTTATTTTCCAGAACGTTCGGAGAAATAGTCACTTCGAAAATAAAATTCCAAATAACAATGTGAGTAGAGGAGCAATGGCAAAGAATTGAATTAATTACATAGACTAGATCTAGATTAATAAATCAATTTAACTGAAACTCAATCAGAATCGGAGTTGAGTTTAGACCAGAGTGAGAGAAGAAGAGCCTTCGTCTTGGGGCTTGGCTTGGACAGTCTGAGCCTGAGCACCCAAACTATCGTTCAGTGCTTCCAATTTTCCGCCATTTTTAGTTTCCCCCACACCTTTTCTGCCGATCCAATGCCCGCCCCCCACGTTTCCCACTTTCTTTGTTGTAGAAAAAGGTAAAATTGAAAATTAACAGACCACCTGGCACCTGCATATTATGAGTTGTGTAAAAAAAAAAAGACAGATTCGTTCAAATACACAAGCCTGTGTCATCTCGATTGTTTACCAAGAAAAAGTTGTGTTGCTGTGTAGAGCTGAGCATACGGCAACTTTTGATTCTATAGACCAGCGCACAATTCATACGTAGATCTACGTCAAGACTAGCCTTATTATTGTAATAATCAGTGCTTCCACCAGCTGAAGCTGAAAAGTAAGGAAAATTCTGCCGGGAGTCTGGGGGCCGCAGAGGCCCCCAGCAGGGTCCAGGGACAGAGTCCCGGGTGGGGGTTCACGCCCCCGAAGAAATGGAAATTTAGTGCTTTTAGAGGGTTGAAAATGGCATTTGGGAGCCTGTTTCAAGAGATTGCCTAGATTAGAGCCCATAACATTTATTTTTTCACCAACATTTTGACTTGTTTGATTTCTTCACCAACATATCTCTCCATTGCTGGCAATGTTTAAAAGCAGGTTCCCCTTTCATTCAAATGATTTGACGTTGCACCAATATTGATAGCAGGCAAACCTGGGAATAATGAATAGATGTACCTTCACAATACAGTTGCACAGCGTATGCCCAAATTTTTTCTCAATTTTCACGTTTGAATGTCGCCTGTCACAACCTCAGAACACCACTTCGAATTATTTTTTATTTTACCTACGGCTGGATCGGGCCGATCACCCGACTCGATTGCCTGAAACTGAAAACAAACACGTTTGTTTTTGAGGCGACCGAGTCGGGCCATCAGCGCGATCGGCCGATCCCATCCGTAGTCTCGTAGTGGGCACCCGCGTATCAGGATATTATTATTTCTTTCATCGCGGCCCTTATTGCGTTCACGTGCCGTAGAATCTTCGCATTGATAAATTCTCTAGCTGACAGTAATTTTTTTGTCTAAGATCACAAGTCAATTTACTTGATCAACGCGCAGATTTTCCAGCCGCGGCAACAATCCGAAGAAAGACAGAAAGAATGAGTGAATGATAGAAAGGAGGAAATTGACACAAAAGGTTCGCCAGATTTTGATCCATCTGCGGTAAAAAATGTACTGCCGACCAACCCGCAATGAGAGGAGACTGACGCGTATGCGACGTTCAACACCCGGACAGATAGTGCCCCCCCCCCTCCCTGACATGCACACAGAGCCACACGTGTGTAGGTCGCCCATCCGATCCCGACACACGCTAACGAGCCATCTTTAATTGCTTCTGATGACCTCTTGACAAATAAACATTTATTAGAAGCGCTATAACTTTTCAGGCCGGCCTCAAATTCATCATAAAATAAAAACTCGGCTCCTGCACAATTTAACGCCATTTTGCCCGAAGTGATCCCGGTCTCTACCCAGCCTGAGGCGAGTCACGAGTGAGGCAGGACAGGAAGCCGGAGTCAGGAGTCCCAGGAAGTCGGAAGTGATGTCATGCTGGACAAGAATTACAGTCCGAATAACATTTTTTCATATTCGGACTCGAGTCCGAATAGTCACTTCGTTTGCAGTTAGGTTGCATCAGAGACCATAAAACATAATTAAGTACTCTCTGGTTGCATCCCTGTTCTATGTGTTGCCTATTTGGTCATCAAGACTTTCAGATTTCTTCCTGGGTGTAAACAAATGGACCGTGGACTTTAACCCTCATCCTGCGGGAGCCGGGTTTATGTATCCCGATAAGCCTATTTCGGCACCTCGTCTACGTTCTGGTCCCGAATCAGTGTAGCTCCTGGCTCAGCGCACGTGCAGCGCGCATCCTCTTAGTCTTACGTGTCATTCACACAGGTCAAGTGTGTGCACGTCAGTCTGCTTGAGTTTTTGTGCGTTTGTGGCCTTCTTCTAGAACCGCCTGCGTTGGTTCGTAATCGAGGCATACGTCTCATTCAAAACATGCCAAGTTGGTAGCTCTAGATGTTCGTCCAATGAAATTATAGAAGAAATTGACCCACTTAGACATGAGGAGCTCGAAAGGATAGTCAAGAAACAAGACTTCCATTTTTCTATACAAAATATTTCAAAGGAGCTTGATTTTGTATGAAATGATACTAGATCTACTTGATAAAAAATAAGCTTGTTTAATAGTTTTGAATACCATTGTGCAGGTACAAAGAACAATTTGAGTGTAAAACATTCAGAAATTGACATAAATTATCCCTTTTCGAACGTCAGGTCATTCATAACAACAAGAGCGTCCAGAAAGGTTGAATTCGAATGGGTGTAACTAACTACTTGTAATGTCTTATCAGCTTGTGAGAGGGGGGTTATTCATGTGTTTGTAACACTTTATAAATAGAAAGCTATGAAGGATAGAGCGTTATTTTCATCATCGTTTAACACACTCCCGCGGTATTCATGGTGAAAACAAACGTTTCCCGGCGCGCGCGCTGTACACCAACAGTCCGGCAACAGTACACACTGAGTGACCCCGGCGGCCTGCCCGGCACGTCCGACGTAATCGGTTGCTGATAAGATACGCATCTGGGCACAGACGCAGGATAAGAGTTAACAAATGGAACTACAAGATCACCAAGTAATTAATCTACTGTACAAGTCAAGTACAACAAGCCTCCTTGGGATCCATTTCATCATAATAATGATGCCAAACTTCATAAAAATGTACAATTACAGTCACATTTGTCACATTTATTTGAACGGATGTTTTACAAGCATGACGGCAAGTCGAAGCCTAGATTCTAGATTCTAGAGGCTATCCCTATATAGATCTACCGGTAGCGTACCCGGTAACCCGCCCTGCAAAATTTCGAAGAAGAAAAAAAAATGCACCATCTAACAAATTACGACAGGGCGACTGTCCGATTGTCCGAACCCGCTCAGTCTGTCAAAGATTAACAGCTTATATGCAAAGAAAAGTTTTCATGCTTTGTAAATGTTTGCTATAGTTGTATGAAACACTCACAAAAAAGTAGTAACGGTGGAAGAAACCAATATGTTTTGAAAAATCTAGCACTGATTGTCTCTTTCAGTTCTTCGCTTCCGGGAGTTCATCCACCATTTTAGTTTGCAAACTTGCGCATGCGCAGCGTTGTTTGCGGTGAATACCAAAATAGTGACTCAATATGAAAAATCCTTACATTATGGGCGGATCAAACCTTTTTGGCCTAGTCCGTTGAAACTGAATTGCGTGGGAAGAAGTAGAGCGAAATAAATGGCATATTATGCTAGGGCACAGGTCTAAATCATTCCCAATGTGAGTAGCCTAAAAATGGACAGTAGTAAGAAAAATATACTCATAAAGGAGAAAGAGAGAGAGAGAGAGAGAGAGAGAGAGAGAGACTGTATTATAGTCAAATGAGTTTTAAAATCTTAGAGTAGAGTAAAGTAGAAAAGAGAAGAGAAGGGTAATAAAGTTACTGTAGGCTTAGGTCTCTGGGTTTAACGCCTATATCAACACTGTTAATTTACTTAAGAAGCGAGATCTCAGAATTAAATGTTCGTAAGCTTCGATACGACCGAACCAAATTACTGGGTTGCTGGGAGCCTTGTAAATTCTACAATACAACCTATGTTCAAGAACGTCCCGTCTAGGATTCAAACCAGGGTCCCGCATGATAAGAGAATGGTAAAGTAGAAAGAAAAGAAAGAGAGCAAGAGACAACTAGAATTGAGTAGACAGAAAAGAGAAGAGAAGAACATTTAGAGAAGAGACGCGGAGAGAATAAAAGAGAGAGGACAACAACAACAACACTCAAAAAAAAAAAAAGGAAAAAAAAGAAGAAAAAAAGAGAGAGAGAGAGAGAAGAGAAGGATAAAATAAAGTAATATAGAGCTTCATATACATTCTGTAGAGACAGACAACTTTATTGTTTATGAGATGGAAAGAGAAAAATACTTTTAGATTTCACTGCGGGTTCCTTATTCATTTTCCCTTTTATAGGCCTATCGTTTTATGATATTAAGCTGTTTTTTTGTTGTTGTTTTTTTTTTTCTTCCTTTTTCTTTGTACATGCAGGACAAACGCCATGATTGTACCGTCAATGTTCACACGGCGCACACTCGTAGATCTTCAGCACTGATATTTTACAGGCAGCACTCAAGCTGAACGCTATAACCCTATCCACGTAAGAAAACGAAAATTGTGTAGGCTAGTCTATTTTTCATGATGACTTTGTGCGTGTCACTTAAATAACCACAAAGGCGGAATAAAAGAAAGTACCGGTATTGAAAGTACCCAATACAGTTTCATTGGAATTTCACGGTAAAGCTCGAATCAGAATGTTCAAAAGTGGGTTAATGACAGGATGGGAGCGGAGGGGAGTGTAGGTTGATGAGAGTGAGTGATGTAGTCCGATGGAGAAAATAAGTTGTTTTGCGGGGGGGGGGGTGATGGCGGTAAGAGCAAGAAGGAACTGTACTTCTGAGTTCCATATTTCGTGATGTCATAGTATTTGTATTAATGAAAATAGTTTAGATTATATTTTTAAAAAACCAAAACGACACCCCCCAAAAAAAACAACAACAACCAAAACCAAAACCAAAAACAACCCCCCTCCCACATACTAACAGAAGGAACGAGACAGATGATGCTTGTAATGGCAGACAGAACGATTACAAAGCATCACATATTTTAAACTCTAGTTCTCAAGACCCATACTCACTCGCAAACATCAACGCTCACAGACGCATGACATAAACGCGCACACACACACACACACACACACACACACACACACACACGCACACGCACACACACACAC